TGGGGAGCCGCGGGGGGAGGGTGTATTGTTCCCGGCGCGGGGCATGCCGGGCCCGCCGCAGCCCGCAACATGGCGTCGTGCTGTCACCTGTGTGTGTGAGGAGGGGAGCAGGAGCTGGCCGCTGCGCCCCAGGCACGGCCGCCGCTAGAGATCCCAGCTCCCCCTCTTCCCCGCTGACAGCCCCCGGTCCCGCTTCCCCTCAGGGAGCCCCCGGCGCTCAGCTCCCGCCCCCCAGCGCGCGAGGGACCCTCTCCCTTCCCATCTCCCCCCCGCCATGGGAGGGTAGCGGGGCCCGCCTCACTTCTGCCCCAGGATCGCCCGGTGCCAGCCCCATGGGGTCCCCGGCGGCGGCTGCGGACTCGGCCCAGTGGCTCTCGGTGAAGGAGGAGACCATCTTCCTACACGACGGGCTGATCCGGGTCACCGACCTGGCCGAGCTGCCCAGCGAGATCATCGGGGTGGCCGAGCCCGGGGACACCGAGCTGGAGGTGAGCCCCTCCCCCACCACACACCCCTGCCGGGAGGGGGGGCTGCTCCATGGGGCAGGGCGGGGGGTGTTAGGGTGTGTGTGGTGGGGGGGTGAGGATGAAGAGGAGAAGGATGCACAGTGAGGGTTTGGGGGGGCTGGGCGAGGATGGAGGTGGTGGGAATCAAGGTGAGGAGGGTGGTGATAATGAGGGGAAAGAGAGGATGGAGGTTTGGGGAGGTTGGGATGAAGAATGGTGGATGCAAGAAGGTGATGGATGATTTTGGGGGGTACTGAATCCAGAGATCTAAGTGGTTCAGGGTATTAATCAGCCCCTACCTAATGGTGACGGGGATGGAGAGGGAATGAAGATGGAGGGTGAAGGATTGAAGCAAAATCTCCTTGTTTAAATCGGTAGGGTGGAAAAAAAAATCGGTGTGTTCTAGAACAGCCTTTGATGTATTGATTTTTATTTATGGTTTTATCCTGATTTTAATTGTTGTTTTTGTATAGTTAGCAATTAAATCTGTTTGTCCTAGTGCAAAGCATCTGGGATACTTGGGTATCTAGGTGCAGTATTTAGGCTGTTGTAATGATTATTATTAAAAAGCAAGGGGAACAGCTGGGTTATTCATCACAGCTTCTGCCCCTCCCACAAATGTTGGTAGCTCTGGTGTAAGGCAAATTGTGCAGCTGTGTGTATTTGTGTATTATGTAAAATGTGACTGTGTGTAGATTGCATCTATTCGGTAGACTGCATCTTTTGCTGTATGTCTCTCTTCTCCTCCTCCCTCTATCACCCCACCCTCTCTCCCTGGCAGCATAGCTTGCAATGACACAGGGTCTTTGTCAGAGAAGCAGAGTAGTGTTATCTAAGTGGGGATGGTTCAGCAGCTTTATCTGTATATTGTGTTAGGTCAAAGGCATTTATTTAAGCCGCAACTCCTTTAGTGAGGGTTTGGCTGCATACCAAGGTGTTGCCAAGAACCCACAAGCCACAGCAGGTGCAGAAGCCTGCAGTCTTGACAAAATCACTGCTAGATTCTGGTGTCAGGAAGCTAAATTTGCTGTTTATGAAAACTTCCTCCAGCTTTATCTAAAAAAGGAAGGTTACTATTATTATTTATTATTTATTTTGCTGACTCTGACTCTTTCCTCTCTGTGAGATGTCATTGAGGAGGGTGGGTCTAGGAGCACTGACCGGTTGTCATGAAATGGATATTGTACAAGTCACCCCCATAAAAGGCTCTCCCTATTTGTGTGATATCTCCTGTTTGTTTATTTTTTATATCTAAATGGCATGACTCCTCTCTTGTGATCTGAATCCACTTTGATTTTCAATGAAACATGTATTCAGAAATTGATTTAAACCTCACTATACACTTGTGGAAGCAGTAGTGAGCAAACCATCTAATTACTGTATTAGAATGTCTCATGGGCATGCTTAGATCTCTAGTGTGCTTGTTCCCTCATGAAGTAGTAAAGGATTCCTATTTTTTTTTGATACACTCTTATTTTCATGATTTTACAAACTAGACCAGAAACTTTCTCCAAAATGAAACTTGACATGAAGGCCCTTAGCATTGGAGCCTTACATGTCTCTAAAACTTAAAATAACCTGCCCTAAAATTATTAGTGGGGGAGGAGTGGAGCAGAGCAGGAAATGAAGTTTAAGGCTATCCTGTGTTTTATTACAGTTGTGTAAGGGGCTGTAAGCATGGTGTGGGTGTGATCTAAAACAACAACAAAAACCCTCTGAAATGGGAAGGCTAGAGTTTGAGTGCTATGTGTGCTTTCAGTATGAAACCTTTAAAATAGCAGTCTGCTATGATACCTTTGCTTGGTTGATTTGTAATCTTGAATTGGAGAGCATTGAGACACCAATATTTTGTGACACTGAAAATAGTAGAAGACCTTAAAATGAAAAGATACCTTATTTTTAAAAATTGGATTAATACAGTATGCAGACTTAAATGCTTCTGGCCTTCGGGTGTGCAGAATTTTGATCAGTTGAGATTTTAAGTGACTAGTAAAAATGTTCAGTTCCTACCTACTACAGATTTTCAGTACTTTGCATACAACTTCTATTGTGCATTTTATATATAACTCTTATCCTTCCCTGGGAAACTGTACTGGATTTGTCCCAATAGTGAATATATTAAAAATATTTTGATGCATGGCTATATATTCATCCAGTAGATTGAGCCATTGCTATTCTGATTTGATGCATAATAAACAAATGTCAACTGTCCAAATACTCATCTGTTGTGAGATGATTGGGGATAGGGAAGATATGTTGCTGTTGCTTTGATTAATTCACTTTTATTTATACTTTTAAACTTGGCAAAGGGCACTCAACTCTGGATGGAAGCTTGTTTGGTATGTAGTCTTTACATCTAAAACAATTATATAAATGAATGGATATCCCTAATTCTAGGAATCTCTCTGCATTTATGTGAGAGAGAATAACATCCAAAGAAGTTACTTTGGTTTCTTCTGTATGTTTATTTGTAGTTCTGTAAAGTCTCATTCTCTTTTAAAATAAATGTAACAAGAACAAAAAAACCATTGACATAACACTAACATTGTGACAAATTGATAATAAACAGGATATTTAAAGTTTAAACCTGACATTCCCACTCCTGTAAGATTTTGTTTGGTTTTTAAATGGAAGGTTATGAAATCTTTACACTCACGAGGAGAAAATATGCTCTTGCAGCAGTGGTGCCGGTGCTGGGGGTGCTGCTGTACCCCGTGACTTGAAGTAGTAAAAACAAACACCAAATGCATGGTTTCCATCATCAGCAACCCTGTTATAACAATTGTTCCAGCATTCCTGCCTTGCAGTATCCTTTAAAGATTAATTTCCAAATTTCAGTGTTTCAATAAATAAGCAGTCTTTTAAACTTGTATATCTGTGCACATGCAAAGTAAATATATGTACTATAAAAAGTCAGTATTTTCAGTGAAAAGTGAATATAAAAAAAGTGAATGTAATACTTGTAAAAGCTGCTGCAGTGATCAGTATTGACAATGAAGTCCTCTGCCAACAGAATATATACAACATATAGTCATTGTACAAGCTTCCCCATTAATATTCCTCAACCCTGATGTATCGGGATGAGAGTTTCAAGGTGTATTCAGTCCTTAGTTTCTCTGAGACTAACAAGGGTTGCCAGCAATGGAAATTGTTAGTCTCGGTCAAAGCCCCAGTGAACAAGTGATGACATTACAATGCTTTTTCACATAGCCCATCAAAGGGTAATAATTTTTTGCTCTGTGCCATGTAGACTGGATTCAAACCAGTCAGTGACTTATGTGGAAGGCCAGCAGTTCTAGAGTTAACAAGTGGGAGGTTCAGTTAATGTAAAATGGCACTTACTTTGAAACTTTTCCACTGGGGAAATAAGTGTGAGAAAAGTCCAGTTTCTTCCATGTTAGTCATAGGACTAAGTGAAATATAAATGCCAGTGGTCCCACTGCTGTCTTAATTCTTATACTTTAAACTTCACGTATCTGCCTAAGAAAAACAGCAGTCATTGGGACATCCTCTCTTAATGGTCTTCAGGGTTAGCCTGGGAAAATCCGAAGAATCCTGTACTTGGCGCTATAAATGCTGCTACACCTGTAGCCGGCCACCTAGGCCATGTCTCTGTCCTCATCTGATGAGGATCTAGTTACCTGTGCCCTTCTGTGATATGAGAGAGAGTAGCGATAGCAAGACAGCTGTTCAGATCTTGTGTGTTTTGTTGCAGTAGCAATAGGTTGTAGTCAGTGCTTGAATCATCCACATTGGGATCTGCAGTAGGTTGTTTTAGTTAATTTAGGTTTGACCCATCTGGGATTAACCATTTGTCATGGGTTTTAGCTCCCTGGAGGAGCCACAACTGTATGTGCCTAGAAAGAATTACTATTCCTCAGTAAGTGTGATTGTAGGCATATCTACTACTTAGATACTTAGACTTGAAAAACTTCGCAGATGCTTACTAGCTGATGGACTAACCCTTGAGATTATAGGGGAGCATCAGCTCTGCTATAGTTAAGGTTGACACATGTTGGTGCGCTCAAGGCCCCCCAGATGGCTTCATATCACAATCACAGTGCTGCCAAGTTTCTCCAACTAATCCCTCCTCCATTCAATACAGCTACACTTAATGGGGGGATGCATATAATTCCAAATGATTGTCTGCTCGGGGGGGGAGGGTAAAATTAATGTTTAATTGGCGTGTAGTGTAACTTTTATATTTCCTAGTTTTCAGAGGTTTGAGTTTTGTTGACCTGGATGTTCTGGAAGGATAGAACAGGCAACCTTAACTCTGCATTAAGGAAGTTTTTTTTTTTTCAGTGAATAAGTACAAAAGATAAGGGTGGGGATCCCCATTAGCAAGGGGCAGTACCATTGTGAGAAACTGAACACCTTAATTCCACTGTTGGGATTTATAGCAGAACTTTCTTGGGGTGCTCTCTTTCACAATGTCCTCTGGCTTAGCTTGTGTATTTATAAAGTCTCTGATCTCCCTGGCTGCAGAAAGAAGGGATGGTTCTCTATTATCTGGGCATTTACATCATACTTATCACTGTAATATGAGTACCTTTTTTACTCCTACCATAGCCCCTGATTTTCAGATCCTCTTCCACTGTAAATACTCCAGAATCTGTCTCTGCTGGTGCTCAGAGCTTTCCTAAGCAGCAGCGGTATGAAATGATCATGGTTCTCGAAAGTAGCACTGCTGCCCAGAAGGATGACACTGGATCAGTTTACTACTTGGCTCACATTTGGAAGGTTATCTTTGTCACCATAAATGAAAGCTTAAATTCTATGTAAGTTGACAATACTCTCACTCACCAGGGTAAATTATCTACTTGCTTTGTGAATGGATTTTTCAGCCTGTTCATTGTTTATTTTTTCTTATTAAAGTAATCCTGAAATCTTGGCCTGTCCCACCAACAGTCTGACTTGCTCTATAGTGTGAATGCTATTGTTACATGTTTTGTATCACCAGTTACCTTTATTCAAATTTC